GAGTGCTTTTGGCCGCGTGTTTGAGGTTTGCTTTATCGTACATTTGTAATGATTTCGTTGATTCAGTACCGTAGAACATTACGGATCAATCGTGTTTTATTTCGGGATTCGTATCGTTTCGGTTACGCGTCACTCAAGTGAAAATCGGTTGACGCACTTTATTTGCTCTTATCCCATTCATAGTGTTCCCGTGGAATCTAAATGGTCACGGAAACTATTCCTACCCACATAGTAAAAGCTGTCTGTCCCCGAATTATAGTTTACCAGTATCTATCCTATTTACTTATGTATGCTGAGCTTTCCGAGTCGTCCAACCTAGGACGCTTTACCCATTTGGAATACTCTCACTCCACATGAGGTGTCCGAAACCAGCGACTGAGCCAGCACTCAAATAGCACTAGAAGCGTCTCTAGTTGCCCTTGACCTACAAGGTTCCATAATACATGAATTGCAAGAGAAAGTCGCAGTAATAGATAACGACATGATTCACCTAACAGCGCTGTTTAAGGATTACGTACCAAAATGTGCGGCCGCAGGTCAGGCAATCACCTTATCAAAACAACTGATTTTTGACGCTGCATTCAAACTAGAATCAGTGACCATTTGTGCCAAACGGATTATAATTTGGGTCAGTTTCCCCAAGTCCAATTCTCTGGTTCAGGCAATCAAAACCCTCCTGAAGAGCCTTACAGCTCTATTCCTACCCAGACCAAACGGAGCATCATGGCTGATGTCAAAAACTAAGAAGACGAAGGTCGGCATCCTTATCACTCGGAGTTAGTGGTAGCAGATGCTCTAGCCCAAACCAAGACTCTGAAAAGAGCGTGCAACCTTGTTCGCGGAGTTTTCCCAGATAGGCCATTGCATGCCTAAACCCGGCGGAAGGAAGCCCTCGAAAATAACAGGAGTCCCATTCTCCTCAAACTCCGCTGTCTGCCCGTAATTCTCCTCTTGCGAGTCGATTACCAAGCGACGACAACTTCTTCACCTCTGAAGACATGGCAATCTTCCAGCGCCTCAATCATGTTTCCTGCAGCGAGATCCAACAGCTTTGATTCCGAGGCAACAAACCCCCTCTACGATAAAGTCTAACTCCCAGAAGCATTCTAATCCAAAGCCGCAAAGTTTTACTCGGCAAACCCCCCGTATTACTATACCCAACCGGGACATAAGCAGCACAATCTCCCTTTATACGTGACCCGGATCCCTGTGGGCGACAAGGATACTTCGCACACTCCCGTAGGGGATCTCAAACTGCCCCTTTTCTCCCCTCGCCCATTCTACTCATCCTCCTGACCTCTTCAACAGGTGGGGGCAATCATGCCGCAGAATCGTCCGCAATCCTGACCCTCTCCGCAGCCCACTTATTACAAACCAGTTTACCAAATTAGAGCCCCTCCCAAAGATCCTCTCTCTAACCCTGCTTCTATTGACTTCTCTGGTGAGTGGGCTCTGAAGTGCATTTCCACGAACTGTCTTATCATCTCTAACAAGATGCTGGAGGTCAAACAGTTAGTGGCTGCCTTCAAAGAAACCTGGTTGCCTCCGGAAAACGGCGATGACAAAATATCCATTGCAGGTTACTCATTGATTCAAAGGGACTCACTGAAGGTGTGATCTTCTAAATGAGTGATCAATTCACCCAAGCGATACTTCTATCACTCCGTCCCATCCCCTTCGTGGACTGCCTCTGGGTCCGAATTCCCCTGACCCGCTCTGAGACACTAATGCTAGGAGTAATCTATCGCTCACCCTCCTGTGGCTTGTTAGAATCACAACCTCTGATAGAACAACTGAATAGCTTTAGATTTGTGCCCCAATGCCCATCTTCTGATAACTGGAGACTTCAACGCTCCGGGAATAGATTGGCACAGACTTCACGCCCTCCATAATGCATTTGGAAGGCTACCAGTCGACCTGATCACAGAACTGTCATGGTCTCAGCACGTCCCAAGCCCAACCAGATTCACTACTAGACCTTGTCATAACAGGTTATAGTCACCTCACAGAAACATTCAACAGCATTGCTCCTTGGGTAAGATTGACCACATTGTGCTGTCTGTTGATATAATAGTCCGCTGACCCAGCTGTGTTACACCGCATCTTAGGGAGATTCGTTATTTTAAAAAAACAAACTTCGACAACCTGAAGCATTTATTCCAAGCCCCAAAAACCAATCAGATAAATGATTTAATAATAATATTAGAACAATAGAATAGTGTATCCACACAGTGGATCATATGCTGGTGCCCGCATCCGTAAACCCCCCTCAAACAAGCACCCATTACCGCGTGCTATTCGTCATCTTTTAGAAGAACGTTCGCGGTCGTTTGCTTGGTACAAATAGACGGGTCTGACGGAAGATACCAATAGCTTCATCCGCATTTGCAGTTTATGCAGGGCAAGGATCTGAGAGTTCCAAAGACACCAACAGAACGGTATTCTGGTCGGGATACGGGTAAATCGATCAGTTCTGTACAAACGTATGCGACGAACCCGGAAAAACACCCCATCCACCCTTACTTTATCTAAATCCGACGGTACCCAAGCCACTTCATCTGCACAAGTGGCGGAAATGTTCCAGTCCTATTTTGACCAAGGTTTTGACTTCCCACTCCAATCAGTCATCTAAGTCTTCATCCCCTAACCTACCAATCCTCGTTAGATCACGTTGTCTTAACGGTCTCAGAAGTAGAAGAACAACTCAGACGCGTGAACTCCTTCAGCTCGATGGGTTCAGATGAAATCCACCCTCGCATACTGGAAGATACCGTGGATGTGTTGGCTGCCACGTATGCCCAACTCTTTCAAAATTGTTTGGACACAGGAAAGTTTCCATAACAGTGAAAGAGCAACTGTAAGAAAGGCAATCGACACTTGCCTACTAACTATAGGCTCATCAGCCTAGCCAGTATTTCCCGTCAGATCTTCGAGCACCTACTTAAGCGGCGTATTCTAAGGCAACTAGCCGAGAACGGCTTGGTACACGCTTCCCAACACGGCTTCCTCCCAAACAAGTCATGCATCTCCAATATACTGACAGTAATGGATAGCGTAACCCGTACCTATGACGAAGGTCATATTTTGCACGCGATCTTCATCGACTTTGCCAAAGCCTTCGGCTGAGTGGCACACATTCCTCTCTGGTAAAAACTAGAGAGTAATGGCATCACTGGCCGATTACTTTCCTTTTCTATTTTCACTGTTACTTCCTACACCTCTTGTCCTCGATGAATCTGTTTTGATGCTTCAGAGTCAAATNAGAATCACTATTTTTATTTCAGTTCAGTTTTAGGAACTCCGTTTGAGCACTTCCTCTCAAATGGTGTCGGTGCTACTAAAATTTCCTTCGTACATGTATTGTGACCTAATATCTAGGGTACAATATATTGCTCAAATCATCCTCAGTCAATTCCTCCGGCCTCCCTCCGTGGTATATGCTATCTTGATAGTTGTGTCTACTTTCGCAACCAATTCTTAAGAGTTCATGGATTCAGTTTCACAGCCGGATTTGTGGAATTCAAAACTCTGATACGCACTCTCAGAAGCATTCTATCGTCTTACCGCGCTGCAACTCCTGGTTATGGTCCTATATTCACTCCAGCACCCTATCATTTTAGTAAAACGTGCTAGGTGTGCACTTATTTTTAGAAATGTTCTGTCGCATGCTCCGTTTCCCTTTCTTCCTTACCTCTTCAGCGGGGTACTACCCCAGACTGCTGTATATCGCCTCTTTGTTCCAGATTTGGTTCTCTTGGGCCAGCCGAAGGCTTGGGGTCCTCACTCACAATGGACAATTTGGCACGGGCAATGGTTGTTGGGCGCGTTTGTATCCACCGTTTTGGCTACATGCGTCTGCGTTCCGGAGCAGGTTGAGGATCACACCCCTGCCTCACCTACATGGTGTTTTAAGGTTAGGTGTATAGCATGTAGTCAGTCCCACATCAAAGCGACCAACGCCTAAATAACGTAATTAATATAAACCAGACAATCCGTCAACAGTGAAGCTCCGAAGCCGTTCACTCCTTGTTCACTGAAGTCAGTTTATGTGTATCGATCCTTGAAACAGTTTATTTATAATCCATTTGTCGTTCTTCTGTATTCCATTGCACTCCCTTTGTTCAACCACAACTTTTCCTATGAAATTCTAAAGCTTTCACGTTCACAACCCTCCTTCTATTCTTTGAACTCGTTTCTGCGCATTATCTCCCGAGCGGATATTTTCAACCCCAGTTCTGCGTCTTCCTCGATGTTCTTCATAAGACAATCTTCTACACTGACGTGATCTCCATAACAGATCACCCTCACTAGTCCATTATATGACCATGTCTGCTTTGTATTTCTTTTTCACCGCAATGCATAGTTACGATATCTTCTGTACCCGTTTGAAAATTACGTTCTTACCATTTCCGTACAATCAATATTTGTTTGGACGGTCATTTTTTATATTATTGAACATTTGCTCATGCGCTTTAGCACGGTTCACGGGTTTCGTGAAATATACCGTTATTATTATTATTACATAGCCACAACGCAAGTCGGTGGCATCGACATCGAGAGACTGCGCAAGAAATTCATGCTCCGCATCGAACATCTCGGTTGTGATAGAATTTCGTTTGGTTATCCAATAGAGTTGCCATAATGGATTATATATTAGACAAAATAATGCATCATAACAAATAACCGAGATGGCTTGTGGAAATAAATTAGGATAATTCTTGAGTCATTCCTATCAGAAAGTATTGCGTTGTGATACTTGATAAAGTTTGTGGTCTCCAAGTTGAGATAAATTAATCTTAGCACTCAAGGTCAGGCACGTTTGATTGACACTCATACAGACTAGAAGCTACACAGATCGAAGTGGACAAGATATAAAATATTGTCTATACCTAAAGCAATAATAAGGGTGATAAATATAATGAAACTCCATTTGATCATAAAGAAAATATTTAAGTGCATCACAATCGGCCGGTACTGTATTGGGATCCCTTCCACCATATATGCTCACCTATATCGATCGTTTCACCCGGTGGCCGGTGGTCGGGCGTTGGTATTCCGCATCCAGCGAAGCCACGGCGCAAGCCTTCGTAGAGGGTTGGATAGCTAGCTTCGGTTGTCCAGCAGTAGTTACAGCCGATCGAATTTCTCACTTCCAGGGTGCTTTCACACAACTACTTGAGCACCCAGGCGTTTTCCGCGACCAGATCACCGCTTACTATCTGGAAACCAACGGGAGAGTCAAGGGTTTTCATCGGCAACTAAAAAGTGCCCTGGCAGCACAGGCGAACCCAGAATGGAAGAACTCTCTACCCTTAGTCCCCTTAGGTTGCAGATTAGCCTTCAAAGTTGATCTGCAGTCCACACCGGCAGAGTTGAATTTCGTTCGCCCATTGCGTCTTCCAGGAGAAATGGTGGCACTGGCCCCACCAACTGACTTCAACTACGGTGACTACGTAGCTCGTTTAGTACATCATATGCGATAGTTGCATATTCAACCACCCCGCCAGTAATCACCCCTAGCCTACCTCTCCCCACGATTAGCCGAAATCTCGCACGTTTTTCTCGGGGCAGACGTTCGCGCACCACTGCAACCTCAAAGCAGCGATCCATATAAAGCACTGCGACGCTTGGAGAAAGTCTACGTACCAGGGCGCAACGGTAAAGGCAAGACCGTTAGTATTGACCTGCTCAAACATGCGAACCTGGAGAAAACTGTCCCTTCCACTAACCGGTTG